CTCTCTCTCTCTCTCTCTCTCTCTACCATTATTTTTTATTTTCTATCCTTGATTGCAACAATTTCAACGATATCTTTTATATATATGTATATTATTATAATAAAAATTATATATGTGATTGAGGCTTGTTAGTATTATAATTTTACTGTAGGAAATGAAAGTACGGATTTCTTGTAATGCCCTATAACTTTTTATCGTTGCTTTGTTATATAACTCCGTTACTTTATAATAACAATTTGATAATGACATTGTGAATTTTTTATGACGGTGTATAATGATAAGCTGACACCATCAGAGTTGGAAAGGTCGTTTCATTATTAAAAAAAGTAACTTTTTATTAAAAGAATAAAAGGTGACTTTTATTATTGTTATTTGTAACGTAAAAAATAACTGAACGATGCGCGTTATATTACAAGGTACTTATTATTTTTTTTTCAGTAAATAACGTATAATTATGACAATAATAAAGTTACTTCAAAGTAATTTTCCATAGTAACTTTTCCTTTAGCGCATCCTCAGGGTTTAGTTAATTTTATCATTATAATAATAAAAAATTGGAATATTATTATCAAATTATTATTATAAAAAGTAACGGTAAAAGTATAACGGCATAATAATATTCTTCTATTCTGTGTGCTACCTACGTTCTAGGTGAGGGCTATAATGGCGAGTAGCTCCCATGGTGGAATAACAAGGTCTGCTATTGCGCAGCCTTTATATCTAGCCAATAGCAAGCAAGACTGAATTCCGCCATATTGCGCGCATATATATGTGAAACATATTTAAAAATGATTTTGCGTGCACACACATACACATAAAAAATGGCGGAATTCAGTCCTGCGCAGAACCGGACGAATATTTGTCATGGATACGAGCAGACCTTGTTACTTCGACCATGGTAGTTCCATAGAACTTATAATTCTATGGGTAGCTCCTATATGTATATGTGCAAATGCGAAGAAATATGACTGTCACTGCGCGATAAGTATTAAAATGCAGTAATGAAGACTGACTGCTTAAGTATTTGCCAAAACAGTTAACATTTAAGCGAAATTTAAAAAATATGCATGGATTCAATAGATACCGGCTACGATAAAAATATCAAGTTTAAATTGCTCAAGTACTAGTTCCTTAAAAAAACCTTACGAATGCGATTATATTTAAAAGTGTGAAAATGAAAAGAAGAAAATATACAATTATATAGTTAAAGATCCTATTTCGATATAATACTAATTTGAAATGCAATGTCATACGTATAGCAAATATGAAAAAAGATTGTGGGTGCTTTCCAGCAAGGACGGCACAAAGAATCGTTACATCCTTGTTTAACATAGGCAAACAATAAAGCGGGGAGCACAGACTTTTGCATAACGCATAAAGCATGTGCATAAGGAATTTCATTGGTCCATTTTCTTATGCATGAGTCAATGGATCAATCAAATTCTTTATGTATATGGTTTATGCGTTATGCAAAAGTCTGTGCTCCCCGCTTAAGGATGTAATGATTCACTGTGTTACTGTGTCTACTTGTGTCGTAGCTGGAAAGCACCCTGTGTAATAGCTCCCTTACTTGAGGGTCCCTAGACCGGTATTCATAGCCAGTTCTTATATTCAAGACCGTCTCAAGTTCAATTTTGAGGTGTCATGAACCAATCAGACAGCTGCATTAGCATCTTAATGCCAGCGCGATGTTCGTCACGCGCGACACGCGATATCCAATGAGCTTTTAGCTTTAGAATGAGAACATCGGTAAAGCTGTAGGTAAGAAGACTAGAACCAGGGCCGCGTTCGAAAACATCACCTGAGTGCCTCGATCCTCCCGAGGATCGTTCGAAAATACTTCGATACTCTCAATGGACTTTCGATTGTTGCGTTCGAAAACACACCCGAACCACTTCGAGAGTGACTATTTCTCCCTACTTCGCTAAGGTAGGGTAGAGTCCTAGATATCAGAGAAGCGCAACCGATGTTCCGTGTCCTGATTAGCTGACTGTCAGCCAATCATGACATTCATTCAGTGGTATTAAAAATGGCTGACTAATAGACGATTGGTGGATTTCATATTTCGTCTGCAAATGACGCCATTTTTAATACTTTTCTTAGTAATTTTGCGATACTGACTTAAGCCGGTTGCGCTTCTCTGATATCTAGGACGGTATTCATAGCCAGTTCTTATATTCAAGACCGTCTCAAGTTCAATTTTGAGGTGTCATGAACCAATCAGACAGCTGCATTAGCATCTTAATGCCAGCGCGATGTTCGTCACGCGCGACACGCGATATCCAATGAGCTTTTAGCTTTAGAATGAGAACATCGGTAAAGCTGTAGGTAAGAAGACTAGAACCAGGGCCGCGTTCGAAAACATCACCTGAGTGCCTCGATCCTCCCGAGGATCGTTCGAAAATACTTCGATACTCTCAATGGACTTTCGATTGTTGCGTTCGAAAACACACCCGAACCACTTCGAGAGTGACTATTTCTCCCTACTTCGCTAAGGTAGGGAAAAAACAGCGTTCCGAGTACGCATAAAGCGCGTATACTGCATTACTGGTGCATAACGCTTTGAAATCGTTCCGTTTAGTCAAAGCGCATGAAGTGCTTTAGTTATTCGGAACGATTTCCTATGCATTCTATATAGGGAAAAGACAGCGTTCCGAGTACGCATGAAGCGCGTATACTGCATTACTGGTGCATAACGCTTTGAAATCGTTCCGTTTAGTCAAAGCGCATGAAGTGCTTTAGTTATTCGGAACGATTTCCTATGCATTCTATGCGAGTTCAAGATGGACGCTATACAAGACGTCAATAAACAATTTCTAATAATTGTAATTTCTTCTTTAATACTTTTAAAGAAGAATGATGAAAGTTCCGATGACAGTTCCGACTCGAGCGATAGTGAAAATGAAGTCGAAGGCATATCTCTAAGTGATATGCAGAAAATATTTT